GTTGTTGGTTAGCTTGTTTAATTTTTAAGGCTGCCCATCCAGCCACAGCATTGGGAGATTCAGGGGCAAGAGGCCATGCTTGGACATGCCTCACTTCCCACTCCTCAAGTAGAGTTCAGAAGTGGCACTTGAAGGCAGCAACTATCCTATGAAACGGGAGCTCTTACAGAATCGTCGGGATGGCTGGAGGTCTGATACCGACTCTCTTAGCATTCAAGTGGTGCTCTAGTCCAGGGATGTCAAACTCGCAGCCCATGGACTGGATGCATCACACGCTGGCCATACCCACACCCAGTTTAGCGTAGGGGAAAAAAGTCACGTGATGCTGCCATGATGACACCCCTGCTCTAGTCTCTTCCTCTGTAACATAATGTGGCAATGATCTGGTATCCCTGAATAAGTGCTTATAGTGCAGAACAACTTTGGAACAGGAACAATAAATTGAAATTGTATTTATTTATTTATTATTATATATTACTTATATCCCCATCTTTATTATTTTTTTACAAATAACTCATGGGAGCAAATGTATGCCACACACCTTCCTCCTCCTGTTTTCCCCATAAGCAGGTAATAATGGACTGCTCATAGAGATGGTGATGGGTGTGTGTCAGAGGTGGGTTTCAGCAGGTTCTGACCAGTTCTGGAAAACCGGTAGCGGAAATTTTGAGTAGTTCGGAGAACCGGTAGTAAAAATTCTGACTGGCCCCACCCCCATCTATTCTCTGCCTCCCAAATCCCAACTGATTGGGAGGAAATGGAGATTTTGCAGTAACCTTCCCCTAGATTGGGGAGGAAATGGAGATGTTACAGTATCCTTCCCCTGGAGTGGGGTGGGAATGGAGATTTTACAGTATCCTTCCCCTAACATGCCCACCAAGCCATGCCATGCCCACCAAACCATGCCCACAGAACCGGTAGTAAAAAAATTTGAAACCCACCACTGGTGTGTGTGTCATTATTTATTTAGCTCAAATACTTTGTCCACCCAATGAGAAGAAAAGACTCCTTGGAAAAGGCCCTGGTGTTGGGAAAGATGGAAGGCAAAAGGAGAAGGGGACAGCAAGGATGAGATGGTTAGACAGTGTCATCGACGCAATGAACATGAATTTGGACAAACTCTGGGAGGCAGTGGAAGATGGGAAAGGCTTGGCATGGCTATGGTCCATGGGGGTCACAAAAGGCAGACATAACGACTGAACAATATTTATTTTATTTAATTTATATGACAGCCATTTCACTATTAAGTGACTCTGGATGGGTTTACAATGTCATGAATAGCCGTATAAAACAATTAGAAGGTTAAGAAGATTAAAACATTACGCATTAAAAATTAAAATATTAATATTGACAACAGAATGGATAAAAAGGAGCAATGCATAAATAGGGTGTAGATGGGATCTTGTCCTAATCTATAGCCCCTTCCAGATTGGGAGGTCCCCATTGGGCAGGACCCATGGAGATATTCCAGGGACATGATTGGTCTTTCATGCCCAAATGGAGCTTTATTGCCTTAAAGGAGCAGAGACAGTTTAGGGATGAAAGCATCTTTTATCAGCTGATATATCAGCTGCATCTATCATCTGGAAGAAAATTGCTTTCAACAGGTGATACCCATGCTCCAGGCTGGGCTACTGCAATGCACCTTATCTAGCTTGTCTCTAGAAATTTTGATTAGTACAGAATATAGAAGGCAGGCTGCTGTCATTTTTTTTCTTCCAACATTAATAATATAGACATATTCAATTAATTTTGAAAGCAAATAACACTGTACTGGATGATTGCCTTTATCGGTGAATCTATCATTTTGCCCCCCCCCTTTTTTTCCAATCAATAAAGAAGTTAGACACTTTGAATCTTATTTTGTATCTACTATGAAAACAGAAGTATATTAACTCCCCCCACACCCCAAGGCTTTGGGGTATTGAGTGGCAGGTCAGGGACCACTCTCTATAGAAAGTAGCTTGTGCCAGGGCAAAAGCTCAATATCACTTTCATTTCTGTTTAATTAAAATGAAATATACTTAATATGTAGTAATGGAGACCTTTCTGCCTCATTAAAAATTGTGATTCGTTAATAGTTTCAGGGAATCTCCAGGGACAGCATTCAAGGCTTTTGGGGACCCATATGATGATTCAGGATGGACACATCTGATTAAAAGGAATGCCTTAATCTATGTTCCTGACAGATTTATTAGGGAGAGACATAATATAGAAAGAGATATCTGTAATCTGTGGGGAATACGGCTACATATATTTAAACTGTACATTTTTTAAGGATCTTCCTGCAGAAACTTTCTGCATGTCTTCGTCCCGTTACATCGGCCATCCCACCTAGTCAGACAGAGGAGGCATGTTGCAGACTCTGTCAGTTATCCAGGAAAAGGGTCTTCTCTGCCATGGCCCCTGCTCTGTGAAATATTCTTCCCTCCTCCCGAGTTGAGGCAGGTCCCCACCCTCTTGGCTTCAGGAAAGGAGTGAAAACATGGCTCTGTGCCCTCATGTGGGGAGCCAGAGAAACACATAGCTGTGGGAATAGCTACTCCCCTAAAAGCCCTCCCTTTCATCTTTTTAACTAATTTTATCAGCCTTGCCTCTTTTTAAAAATTTCCAACTTTTATTGGTAAAGGTAAAGGTTCCCCTCGCACATATGTGCTAGTCATTCCCGACTCTAGGGGGCAGTGCTCATCTCTGTTTCAAAGCTGAAGAGCCAGCGCTGTCCGAAGACATTTTTTATGTGCTTTTGAACTGCTAGGTTGGTAGAAGCTGGGACAAGTAACAAGCGCTCACCCCATTACGCGGCACTAGGGATTTGAACCGCTGAACTGCTGACCTTTCAGTCGACAAGCTCAGTGTCTTAGCCACTGAGCCACCACGTCCCCTTTTTCTAACTTTTAATACACTGCCTTTATATTTTAATGTTTCACTGTATACTGCCCAGAATTCCTCTCTGAGGGAGATGGGCGGTTCAAAAAAAATGTGAAAAATAAAATCTTTCAAGTGACTATAGCATGGTTTATGAATAAGAGCACCCTGTGTCTTACTCATCTTTAGAATCACAACTTAAATGAAAGCAGGTGGACTTTCTGATTTCACCTCTCTGGAATTTCATAACCTCATTGAGCTGAAACCGTTTGCCTCAAGAACAATCTGAATTTTGCCTGTGGTCCCCTACCCTGGGCAACAAGCTTTAAGAACTATTAATGGCCTACCAAGTGCCACACAATGAAATAAATAATTCCCTGCCTGCATAGAGTGGATGATGGAATGCTTTCAAAATTAAAGGGGGGCACACCAACTGACTTTGCAAGAAAAAAAACTGTGCGGGAGAGATGTGAAATCCCTAAAGCCTTCAATTCAGAGTGTGGAGCCTGTTAAGAAAACAAATAGGAACTTAAGTCTCATCGCTCAGGAAAGATCAGATAAATCAAGCGCTGGTTCAGTTGCTATAGGAGGCTGATGGCACTCCATTCACAGAAGATCTATTGCAAGAGATACTAACAGATTTTCTTTAGTGATCCTTTCAGTATTGTGAGCCATTCCTCCCCCCCCCCCCCCCCCGTCTCTCTCTTAAAAGGAGCAAGTAAAAAGATTGATGAACATCTTGGAAGCTTAAGGTTGTAAAACAAAAGTTATATATATATATATATATATATATATATAATATATATATATATATATATATATATATATATATATATATTTGATTGGCTAAGAGAATGAGAGACTTGAATGTCTTCCTTTGTCGAAACGTTTTGAGGAATGATACTGAAACTTTGTTGAATGTCTCCAGTTAGGATTTGGGAAGTTTCATCATGGTGAGCTTTGAACCGAATCTTGAAAAATGATCCAGTGCTTACTCCACTTCCAAAATTGATAGAATTCCTGTCGGACTGCAAAGTAACATCCAGCATAATTTTATTTTGAGATTGTCAGATCAACTTGGTTTGCAGTGTATTTTAATGAACTCACTCCAGGTAAGTCCTCAATTTACAGTATGTTTACATATAGTGATAGTTTGAAGTTACAATGGCACTGAAAAAAGTGACTGACAACTGGTTCTCTCACACGCATGACCATAGTAGCATCCCCACAATCACATGATCAAAATTTGGGAACTTGGCAACTGGCATGTCCTTACAATGGTTGCCGCATCCCAGGTCATGTGATTTCCACGGTGCCGCAGGTGTTAGAATACAGTACTGAGGCTACTTCTGCTGACTGCTGTCTGTCTGTCTGCAATCTGGCAGTTTGAATCTCACCAGGCTCAAGGTTGACTCAGCCTTCCATCCTTCCAAGGTGGGTAAAATGAGGACCTAGATTGTTGGGGGCAATAGGTTGACTCTGTAAACCTCTTAGAGAGGGCTGCAAAGCACTATGAAGTGGTATATAAGTCTAAATGCTATTGCTATTGTTATTGCTACTTATGTCCTTCCCAGCAAGATCCATGGGGGAAAGCTAAACACAGTTGCTTAATGTTAACACTTAATGACTATGCAATTTGCATAACAATTTCATTGATCACTTACCCACCTTAAAAAGGTCACAAAATCAGATGTGACCCATTTCACAACTGTCTAATTTCTACAACTATATAATGAGGATTTTTAAAAAAAAAAAAAAGAGAGAGAAAGAGAGAAATATTAAAGAAGCATTGTCCAGAGCACTTTGGGGAAAAAATGCTGGGCTTTAAAATAATAAAGTTCAATTATTTCTCTTTCCAAGTTGATGCATTTGACTTTAAGCTGGTATTTCTTTCTTACCTCAGTTCTTAATGACATTAAACGGTCATGTTTTAAAACCAGTGATGTTTCACATATGTATATCAGGAAGATATATACTGTAAATGGTAGGTAACCTCTTTACTTTTCTGAGCTAAAATATTGAGTGCAAAAAAAACAACAACCTCTGGTTAGTAAAAAATCTTAGAGCTGAAGATATGTTCCTAGCCATCAATTAAGGAGAAATTGCTCTCTAGAGTTACAATAAAAGGCACTGAAAATGTATTAGGATATTTAATGAAACCCTGAAGCATATGTTGCAGTCTATCAAATAGTATAAATGCATGCAGAACAGAAATATTTGCTGAGAACTCTAAAAATCCTTGGCCAGCATTATATTTCCTATCAAAATTTTCCTTGAAAAAATGTTTGGAAGTAACAATCACCTGAATATGGTTATAAGGTCCATGGGAAATGTTTGAACCAGGATGCATCAGGCTTTGTGGAGTATGTTGGAAAACAATCACTAGTACAAGAGAGAATGGGTATCATTTCCGAACTTCAACATCTTCCAGATTTGTGGACTTCAACTCTCAGAATTCTCAATAATGGCCATATTGGTTGAACAAATCTGGAAAATGAAGGCATCAATTGGTTCTCTGTGTTGGGAAACTCTGGGGTAGTCAAAGCAAAAAAAAAAAAGCATGTATAGACCAATTTTCCCCCAAATTTTAAAATGTACATGGGTATATCATCTTGAGTTCCTGAACAAAAGGTGGAATATAAAACTAATAAATTTATCCATCTATATATTTTAACTTAGCAAAAATTACAGGAGAATATGGAGTACTTAAAAAGCCTTGTTTTAAACACTAAGGATTAATTCAAAGTTTCAGGCTGAGTGATCAAAATCCATCCATCTGTCCATTCCCACCCCCATCTAATCTATTTATCTCTATTCCTATATTTATTTCTCTCTAAATCTCTCTCTCTTTATCTCTCTTTCTATCATCTATCATCTGTCGATTATAATTTATTACCTGTCTATCCTTTCTCTACACACACACACACGTATACTGTGGTGGGATTCAGCCAGTTTGCACCACTTCGGGAGAACTGGTTGTTAACTCTCTGAACAGTTTGGTTAACTGGTTGTTGGAAGAAATCATTAGGGCAGAGAACTAGTTGTTAAATTATTTGAATTATTATTATTGTTTAGACTTCTATACCGCTTCATAGTGCTTTACAGCCCTCTCTAAGCGATTTACAAAGTTAGCATATAGCATATTGCATATTAGCATGTTGCATTAGCATTAGCATATTGCCCCCAACAATCTGGGTCCTCATTTTACCCACCTCGGAAGGATGGAAGGCTGAGTCAACCTTGAACCAGTGAGAATTGATCTGCTGATCTGCTGAACTAGCAGTCAGCTGAAGTAGCTGCAGTACTGCATTCTAACCACTGCGCCACTTCGGCTCGGTGAATCCCACCACTGCACATATACATATACATACATACACACACAAACACACAATCTACATTTATTTATGTTTCTTTGTTTCTCTATGAATTTTACGAATGGCATGTATAAAAAATGTAATCATCTGAAACAAGCAAGATACATTAAGATTACCTTATCACCCACGTTTGAAATTTGACTTTAGTTGCTTCATCTCCTTATTTCCATTGTTTTGTTCTATAGGAGGTGATCTTTTTCCTTTTTTTTTTTTAAATTGAAGATTCTTTCATTCATTTTTGGACCCTTTGAATTTGATTTTCTGATTTTTTGAGATGAAAAGTGGCATAAAACATGTAACCAAAAAACATGCAGCCAAATAAACAAATTATGTTTTAAAATCCCATAGCTGAGATTAAATTTAAGATTTGTGTCAGTAGTGGGTTTCAAATCCCGTCACTACCGGTTTGCTTGTGGGCACACACATGCTCACACACATGTGCAATGCTTCTGCTGCTACCCGTTCACCAAATCCGGGGTGAATTTGTAGCAACCCACCACTGATTTGCATGTATGTGTACATGCGTACGATATGCATATGGATATGCACTCAGGTTTTTCTTAGGCAAAGACAAACTTTCTCTCTCTCTCTCACACACACGCAATAACCCCCGCTGTCAGAGAATGTCCTCTCTGACTTTCATCAGCTTCTGCTGTGGCTCTGTTTTCTCAGGTAGTCAAAGCAGGTTTCCTTAGATGGGTCCTGAGTGAATACTTGGGCATAAGCTCACCTTAGAGAGAAACTCTCAATGCTGCACACAGCCTGTAATTTTTCATGGTCACCTCCAGGACAATTTTACACCCTCTTGGAAGAATCAGCAGGGAGCCCCTCTACAAACATAAAGGTGACCCTAAAACAGCAGAGAGATTGCATTAAAACAGCATTCAGTGTCGTGGAATCAAAGTTTTATGCATAAGACTGCTTTAACTGAATTAATTAACTGAATTAACAACAATCTCCTCACCTTTCAGATACCATAGTGGCCCAAGAGGAATTATTCAGGTATAAATACAGGTAGTCCTTGACATACGAGTACAACTGAGCTAAGCAAGATAGTTGTTAAGTGAGTTTTGCTCCATTTTACAACCTTTCCTGCCACAGTTGTGAAGTGAATCAATGTAGTTAAGTGAGTAACGTGATTGTTAAGTGAATTTGGCTTTCCCGTTGACATTCCTTCTGGTCAGAAGGTGGCAAAAGGTGAACACGTGATCCGGGATTCTGCAACTGCCATAAATATGAGTCAGTTGCCAAGCATCCAAATTCTGATCATGTAACCAAGGGGATGCTGCAATGGTTGTGTGAAAAATGGTTATAAGTCACTTTTCTCAGTGCTGTTGTAATTTTGAACGGTCACTAAATGAATGGTTGTAAGTTGAGGACTACCTATATCTACATCTCAATTATCTTTGAATTGATATCTAGACCAGATAGGAGCTTAGTATTAAACATCACGAGATAGAAACTGGATGACAAAAAATAATACGATGATTTACCATTCTTCTAATCCGTTCCTTGGTTATTGTGAGTTGGTGAATTATCCTAACTGGGCTCCCTTTGAAGATAAGCAAAGATATGAATTTAAAAAATAAGAAGAAAATAATAAGAATATTCCTTAAGGATTAACCCACCACCACCACCACCACCACCATATCTTATCATGTCCCATTTTGATTTCACAGTTGTGTATTACTGGAAAAACTTACTTCAAGGGATTTTTAAGGAATCGAGAGCCCGAGTTGATATGCATTGCAAGAGATGGACAAAAGGTAGCAGCTCCAACCCCTTCAAACTCACTGGCCGTTTGGGCCCAGCACCAGCTCCGGAGGAAATTGCATTGCAGAAGGGAAGCAAGCAAGAAACAAACCTGCGACCAGATGATGAAGACACTGTCACAATGACCACCATGACATCAATTTGCCGATGGCCTTTCAGATTTTCCTTTAAACCGGCCTTTGTTGTTGGAAGAAGGCCTCCTACGAAAGGAGGAGAACTCCCACCTCAGGGGATAAAGGTTTCGGCAACTTCTTTGGCTTAAGATGCTTTGATGGTTAACATTAAATGGAGATTGCCTTGTGAAAATGATATTCCATCAGAAAAGGGGTCAGTGAAGCAGAATGTATTGGTTCACTTCAGAATAGTTTAACCCCCCACACACACACCCACACACCAGTTGCTAAGCAACAGCTTAAGAAAGTTACTGGTCGCTGAAGCTAACCGACCCTGTGGAAAAAATTATAAACAGGTCATGTGACAGGGAAGGAAAGAGAGTTCCAGGATGATCAGAAAACAATGATGAGCCCGGAAAGTGGATCAGGCGATCTGGATGGCAAAAAGAACCCAGAGAGCTGTGACATTTACGTCACAGCTGAAAAACCTCTTCAGACAGGGCTGAGTCCCGCTCCCAGCAGCCCTTGGTCATGTCCTATCCCAGACCAAGCACACAAAAATACACTATTTAGTAAATTCTATTTACTAAATAGCAATAGCAAAAGGATTTAAGTTTGTATACCACCTTGTAGCACTTTACAGCACTCTCTGGGCAATCTTCAACGTTGAAGCATTATTTGCATATTGCCCCCAACAATCTGGGTCCTCATTTTACCAATCTCAGAAGAATGAGAAGGTCGAGTCAATACTCAGCCCCATCAGGTTTGAACTCCTGGCTGTGGACAGAGTTTGCCTGCAATACTGCCTTTCAACCACTGTGCCACAAAAGCTCTATATAAATGAGTCTCTCAAACACACAGATCTGCTGTATGTTCAATAAGTTTGGCCTACAAGAGTCCCAAATCAAAAGGGTACTCAAGAGAGTAGTCAGGTGGAGTTGAGGGGCAGAGCTTGTAGCAGATCCATCAGCTGGTCCAGGTTCAAAGCCCGGGTTACGGGGGTCACAAGTCAAGATGTAGGGAGTGGGAGTTACTGAGTGGTTGTCATCAATGAAGAACCCGTGCTTGCTGCTTCATTTTAATAGAAGCAGCCCCAGTGTAGTTCTTTTACTGGTGCGAGACTCCTTCCAAATCAGTAGTCTTGCAGGGCACCTTTGCTCTAGTGTCTTTGCAGCCCACCACCCTCTTGCATTGGGAGGGGGCAATAATTCTCTGCCTCATGGTCAGAGACTGATGGCAGTTGTATTTGCTGGGTGTGTTGGCTCCCTTCCCTTCCCTGCTCAGACAGCAGCTCAAATCTAAGCCCATCATGACAAGTGAGGACTCCTGTCTTGGTTCAGGAGAAAAATAACCTATTTTGAGAAGAGGAGAGTCTTGTTCCAGTATATCCTATGGGTGACTGCTGTATACAGAATGTTGAAGGTATGGAGCAGGGGTGAAATGCTACTGGTTCACACCGGTTCGGGCAAACCAGTAGTAATAAAAGCTACCAGTTCAGCTGAACTGGTAGTAAAAAAAGGCTACCAGTTCATCTGAACCACTATTTCCTATGATCAGCTGTGCCGTGTGATTTATATTCGCTAAACTTTCTAGCACAGAAAGTTTCTAGCTGTTTTCCCCCCTCATTGTTCCACTTACCTTCAAACGGTCCCTTTTTCTGTGCAAAGCGTGCATTTGGTGCGCACTGCACATGTGTGCATGCAGCGCATGTTTGCCACACACTGTGCATGCACACTGTGCATGTGTTTGTCACGCACTGGGCAGCAAATTGGTAGCAACCCGAGGAGGATTTCACCACTGGTATGGAGGTAGTCAATTAATATATTTTTGATTTCTGTCATCTGAAGTCTAAGATGAACACTAATGTAATAGAATATGGGGTGAAGGACAAAGTATTGATTTTTTAGGTGAAATGATCCATACAGTGGCATCTAAAACCTTACAAATCAAATCATACAGTCTACTCTTTGCTGGTTTCTTATCTATCTGTGGTTATTTTATTATAACTATAATAAAATTAAACCACAACAAATGTTAGTTATAATAATGAATTCTGTTGTAAAGGCTGTCATCCCAACAAATCGTCTCTTTGTGATCATTTAACAGCTTCCAGGAGTCTTGCTGTGGAAACAACGAAGATTAGTTTCTCAGTGGACATCTGAGGGCTGCTATGCAAGGAGATAGAAGGCTGGAAGGAAAAGTTAAAGTGAGACATCAGTTTTTTGTCCTATTTACAGCCCTGAAATTGTTAGCCTCCACTCAACCTTCATAGTTTCCATTCATTCCGAGTTCTTTTTGTCCCTGGAAAAAAGATGAGTGATGTTTCCAGGAATGAAAGCATTTGACTCATATTGGGTTAGCTCCTGAAGACCGCAAAGTGTATGACTGCTTTGTTAGAAGAAGTAAGCTCTCCTCTAGACTAAGGAAAGGTCAAAAGACTTGGCATTCTCTCTCTAATGAGCATACTTGGGAGGAAACCTCCTCTGGCATGAGAAGGAATGCATTTGAATGATCCACAAAGTCACAACTCTCCAATGAAACCTGATGAGAAGAACCCTTGAGGTCAGCTGGTATCACATTAGAGCCTTTTGTTATATATTTTACCGATAATAACAGCCATAACAGCCCTGAATATCTCAACAGACAGAAAAAGAAGAGCAGAATAAATTCACCCACAGTCGTCATCTTCTTTTTATAAATCCAAATGTGACTTTTTGACAATGATAGAAAATGGAGACTTCAAACCTAGGGATTTTACACTCAAAGACTGGATCACAGTTAATTCTGCGTAGGTAGGAAGAGTTTTTATTTTATTTTATTTTATTTTATTTTTTTGATTAAAGTGTTTTTTAGAGATTTATGTGAGATATGTAGCAGCTTTTAAATATCTAAACCAATTGTTTAGACCCAGTCATAGATTCAGATGGGATTTGTTTTGCTCAGGTTATCAGATTTTTTTTACAAACTTTTCTTGACTATGCTTAGATAACATATATCACTAAATAAAACCACCTGGGTAAGAGCCTATAATCCGTGTCTCTAAATGGGATGGACATATAGAGGGGTATGATTGTAAAAGGACAGCCCTTTAGTTTATAATGGGAAAAATGGTTGAGTGTTACCTTATAAGTGAATTTTAAATTCACTAATCATATATTATATTTAGTATTTTTACACACAGATTGATTTGCCATGGGTGTTTTAATAGTTGATATGTTTTGTTGTTGCAAACCATCATGAGGCTCAATGAATTTGGCAGTGTACAAATCTAAAAATAAATGAATAAATTAGATTGATTGGCTTTGATAGTTGCAATAGTAAATAGCATTGCTTCTTGTTCTTCCCCTAAGCAACAAAGGATCTTGTGAGAATTCAATCTCTGGTTATTCTAACATGTTATTAATAGCAATATTTTTAAATCAAAGTGTGTTAGAAAATGTGACTATCATTGATTTATTTGATTTATAGTTAGGGCAGATGTACAATATAAACATCTCCACAAAAAGAAAAAAAAAACATTTTTTCCTAGGTTTTCATTAATTTTAACCCCAGCAGTTATATTTTTTCTAAACTGTGGTCTATTTAGAGGTTGAACCAGTATAAACAGGAAAAATCTTGACTTCATTCACCAAAATCAAAACCTCACATGATAGTGACATATGGTTGAGAAGGGATTTGAAACAATGGTACTGACTCCATAATCCTTTTTTTTCCCCCTTCATTTTAGCCTTGTGATTAGGAACACACAATTATGGCTGTCTTGGGGATATGTAACCAAAATTATATTTTATCCCAGGTTCTCAATATGATTATTACATATTGCATTTCATGCACCTAATCTAGGAATCTTACTTTGCAGGAACCAACACCTATTACAAATGAACAATTCAATTTGGCTACAGATGCTATCAGAATGTGATTGCTGCCTGCAATTCATTCACACAGAGTTAAGTATGTTTGTTGATACAATAGAAATGTCACTTAATTTGTGCTTGCTGTGCTCAATTTATGGCAATTATCACAATGCAAGCATTAATTAACTTAATTCATATAAATAGTGTTCTGTATCTACTATATAAGGTGAATGAGTGAAGTCAGGCCTTATCATGTATTCATTCAATTACTTCCTCTTTAGATTTTTTCAACAGGCAACAAACTCATATTAAGCCTAGCTTGTTTTCTACAATGAAACCTGGGTGCCACTGGTAGCATTACAACAGTGCAGCCCTATGTCATTTTGCGTCCTGACATGGAGCTACTTACATTCTTCCTGCAGGTTAAGATATCTTTATCTTTTTCTGTAAAGCACTATGTGGTGAGTAGTCCTCAAAATTTCTGTTCATGGCTAATATAGAAACTGTCATAAACATCAATGGTAGATTAATATCCAACAGTTCCAGGTTCTCTTGCTTCATCTATGTATGGTTTGTTCCAGTAGCCCACTTGCTGTCAGATTGTCCTGGTTCCCCAACATCGGATGGAGATCTTGTTAAACTGAGTGATGTCTAAACTGACATGACTCTTCAAATGTAAGTAGGCACTATAAAGCATTAAGGGATCTTTGCCCAAGTACCCAATCTCCCAGATCAAAACCACTGTGCTATCCAGCTGCTTGAGTTGAGGAGCTTACACAAATGGCATACCAGGATGATGGTACTGTCCCACTGCTGTTCAGCATAATCCCAAAATAATACCAAAGACTGAACATGGATACAAGTTCAAGAGTGGAACTACCATCAGTTACCTCCTCTACATGGTTGACATCAAGCTACACGTGAAAACCGAACGAGACATTGATCCACCTGATATGGGTCTGCAATGAGGATACTGAGATGTCATTTGTACTGGAAAGATGTGGGCCAGATGGTTGTCAAGAAAGGGAAAATAGTTAGGACTGATGAGGTAGAACTTGGAACTATCAGCGGGTCACACGGCAGATATACAGACTAGCTATAGATATTTTGTTATCCCACAGTCACATGGGAACCACAATGAGGAAGCAAGGAAGATAGGAGTATCCAAATACCACCAAAGAATCAGACAGGTCCTGAAGAGCCAGATCAATGCCAAGAACAAGATCCACACTATCAACATGTATGCCCTGCCAATTACCAGATAATCTGCCGATATAATGTGCTGGCTAAAGGAGGACATGGAAGCAGCTGATGTGAAGACCTGGAAATATCTCACAATGTACAGTGGCTTCCATGGCAAAACGA